TACGGGTGATCGATAGTGCATTCAATCACCCTATGGCTAGGAACATAATTTAGAACTTAAGATCTGTAGGGTACATATCTCAAGATTGAAACTTCTTCGCGATCCTGTCTCTACAATTTAACGTAATTCTTTGACTCATCCTAATCAATAACGAACTTCCTAATCCGCTATTAGGTTATGTGCTCGATTAACGGATGTTCTCACTTGCCTTTGTCATCAATGACTTGACATTGGGTTGCCACAAATAACCAATTACATGTTGCCAAGTCAATTGCTTTTCGAGCATATTCCAACAGCTTCCACCTTTGATTGATCGCCCAAAACTCTTAAAATTCTTCTTCTCTGCTTCTGTCATTGTTCAATCGATTGCCACTTCCAGATTTGTATTCAGCACTCTAATTTTATGTTATAAATCACAACACTAGGGTATCCTAGTTTGAGATTGCAGTAAAGTCTCAATTAACAAACACTGAAATATAGACCAAATGGACTCATTGCAGAGTATTCTTGTTTCCTTAAATGCTTGCATAGGCATTGGAGGTGAAAAAGTGATTCTGAGAAAAAATGACGTAAACGGTATGACGTTTGTCCAGCCACTAATTGTGTTGAAATCGTCTGATTAATTAGAGCCCTTGTTTTAGGTGGGGAAACAAATTTAGTTTTGATACATGGAAAGTTGGGGCATTCAAACTTTCAACTTCTTTTTGACATAGCTAAAGGTAAATTCTAAGAATAAATATGAAAAACATAAGAGTATTATTTTCAATTTTGCAGTCCTAAAAGAATACAAAATGATTTCAAGTGTGTTACACGGTTTAATATGCATAAACTTGCATATATTTTCTCACAACACAAAGTATCACGCCTAATTTAATTAAAGTGGTGAGGTAATGAATTTAGATTAACGTAGATGTAGTCTTCAATTTTTTATCAAGGTAGAAATAAAAAGAGTTACACGGATTTTTTTTATTTTTTTATTTTTTATTTTTTATTTTTACATTAGCATTCTATGTATCTTTAAGGAGGAAAGTAACCTAAATAAAGCTTACCGTATATATGTTAAATACTTTAGTAAAATTTGATTCAAGTTTCATTTTTTCTGGCATTGAGTTCCTCTTCATCATCTTCGATCTTCCTTTCTGGACTTTAGCTTCCAATATACATTATACGTGTAGTGGCGGAACAAGACTTCCATTAACATATAATACTTTGCGTCATGAGTTTTATTTTTCCCCAAATTTGACATTTCTTTCCCTTCCAAATGCCTTGGACAGCCACCCTATCTCAACCATTTCATTATGGAAACATTTTTCAATGCAACATAAAACATGGGAGAATTGCAGTTGGACTTCTCTTTTTGACCTTTCGCGGGAGCTGCATGTATAGAATATAATACAAAATCTGACTATAATTCAACTATTTATTTAGGGACAGGATGTCTCAATGGTTGGAGATGAATTTCGTATCCGTATTTCACATGACACGTTATGAGTTCGATTCATGGCAGTACCGCATGATGGTGGCTAGGAAGAGATTAAAATGTCTCTATGACTTTTCTCGACCTCCAGAATAGTGGATTGTCGTGGTGAAGTAACCGGCTTGTCCATTTAAAAAAAAGAAGAGACATTGCTACTTGTTTAAAAGTCTTAATTAAAGTTGTTACAGAACATTCAAATATGTAAGAATATTTTAACAGGAGCAGCGTTTATGGGCACAATTGTTATCAGATCATATATATACACAAAATTTACTTCACAAACAACAACAAAAGTAACGTATAGGTCTACAACACTGATTTTACATTCGTTAGACATCCTTTAATTTATTTTTTTTCATTAATAAATCAATAAAAGTGTAGTTTTTTTATTAATGGGAGTCGAGAAATAAAAATTCGGACCTCTTTCAGCATTGAAAAAATAAGTATGTGGTTGAGAAGTTTTTTTCATTTTTTTTCATTTTTTTTAAGCAACAATGACATTCATTAAAAAAAACGCAAAAGACACAAATCTTAACATAATTGCAAAAACAACTCAGAAGAGCTAAATTAAATTGGACGAACTCTGCATAATCAGCTAAAGAAACTCATAGCATCACCCGTACATGAGTGCACTTAGGCCAAAATCACCGAAACCCTGAATTGAACCATAACTCTAAATCATAATTCCTACCACGAATTGAAGTTGCTGTGCCATAGAACCCTTCACATCTAGACAAAAAGGGACTAACATGGGCGGATTTGGGGAAGAATTAGGGGGCGTTTGTTTGCTCTCACTAACTGTCACTGGACTAGATTGGGCTAACTATTAGTCCAGTCCAGTGTTTGTTATCATGCGGACTCGCCTACACTAAAGGATTCACTAAGAGGTCTTAGTGAGGCCCCCCCAAAAACTACGGGATTGCTAGTCCCGTCTCCCTCTTCTGCAAGCAGAGTCGTACGAACCCTCCCCCACACCTTTTCGTCACCGTGTCTGCTAGAAAACTCACCTTCATCTCTTTAAAACAGAAGTCAAAAGTCACAGAAGATATTCCATTGAAAACTGACCTTCAAATCTCTACAAAAACCAAGAACGGAAAAAAGGGGAAAAAAATTCACTTCTTGCGCAATTAGCAGAGAAAGCAAGAAGAAAGAAAATCAGGGAATCCATAGTTCTCTGCCCACTCCCAACACCTCATCACGCTTAGTTCAAGAACCAAGTCGTATATGGGTTCAACCACGACCTCAATGGAGATAGAGAGGTTGGGGATTTTAAGTGAATTTTTGGGGTGGGGGATGAGATGGGTTTGTGGGAAGAGGAGGCGAGGAAGATTGAGGATTTTAGTTGCATCGTTGGTGAAGCAAATGGAGAGACTCTCTGCCATCACTTTGGTTGCATCGCTTGTTTGGGTTAGAGAGAGACGGTGAGAGGGAGAGAAAGGGCCGGTGGGTGGGAGGGACAAAAATGGTGAAAAAGTGAAAGGGGGATGGAGAGGCGGAAGGTTACTGGGATTGGAGAGATGATTATAGAAAAAAAAAGGAAAAAGATAAAGTAAAAATAAAATATTAATTAATATATAGTAATTTAATATAAAATATTTTAATATTGCAATCTTGCTTCTAAGTCCGACACTATACCAAACGCTTCACTAAGCTAGTTCAACTTAGTCTAATCTAAGCCAGTACAGCTTAGTCCCTGAAGCTAGTCCAGTTCGAGATAGTCCGGTGTAACAAACACACCCTTAGTCTCCGGTAATTGCGTATAAGAGTTGCATATTAGTAACTAAGAGTCGTCGTCTGGTAAAGAAGGCCACAAGCACATGCGAAAATCACAACATTCTTCAAATTGAGAGTAAAAATAAAGTTAAGAGGAAGTGTTTTTGAGGAAGGATTGGAATGAAGGATGCAAGGTGCAAGAGGTAGTTGGGTATTCAAATCTTAGAGAAATTATTAGGTAGTACTGTACTATCATGAGAAATTTTTCATTGTGACGGGAATACAAATGCTATATCACGTGTTTTAATAAAAGTGATGTGAAATTTTATTTTTTAAGTTATTAACTTTTTAGCACACATATCTCACTATTTATATAATGAAACGTAGTGTACTAACCGGTATAAAAAATCTTTTCGGCTTATTTCTTCGTGGGTCAGTGTACAAAACCGTCGTTTCATGTTACTAGATTTGTTGGGTTTGTGGTGGTGTGAATATTGACAACAGGATGGGTTCATGATGTTTGGCGCTGCTTGCTGGCAGGTGGAGAAGATGGAGAGATTTTTGAATGACCGGTGCATAAGATGGTATACCATGTGTTACAATATAAATAGTGAGATATATGTGTTAAAAAGTTAATAACTTAAAAAATAAAATTTCTCATCTTTTATATAAAAATATGGTGTACCATCCATATTCTGATCACAATGAAAAATTTCTCGAGAAGATTGGAGTTGCAAAGAGAACTCATGGCGCCTAGAAGGGAGGGATTTGGTGAATTTTAAAATCTCATGAAAACCATGGCAAGTAGTGCGGTGCCAGTCAACGGGGTTGGAGCCTTGGAAGGAAAAGAAAGGAAAGTCGACTACCATGGCAACCAATATCAGGTTAGAGCCGTGAAGGCTGAGGATAGTATTGTACTACTCATCTGTTTGGTGGATTCTGCAGCTGTGGCTCTTCTCTAGATTATCGTTCAATTCTTTTTATTATATATTTTCTTAGGAAAAATAATAAAAACACACAAGCCTTTCACATATTTATGTTTAATCTTTTAATTGTTTAATTTGATTTATTCAATATGATGCTCACAAATTAAGAAAATTTTAAGATTTTTTTTTTTTAAATGTGTGAAAAATCACCTACCTTCCCTCAACTACAAGTTTTGCACAAGTCTAGGCCTTTTTTTTCAGTCAACATGTTCTAGGCCCTTTTGGGGGGAACCTTCACAAATACAACAAAAATTTGATAGAACCTCCAAAATTGCCTTCAAGCCACCAACCACCAACCACCAAACAAATATTAAACAAACTTGTCAATTAACCCAACCTCCAAGGAAAGTTAGTGTGTTGAAACTCATGATAGGAATGTTACACTTATTATCTATTTTTACTATCTTAATTTTGTATCATCTTTCTCTCTAACTTCATAATCCGTCAACCCATGTAGATCTTATCTCTGTTAGAAAGATAATACAAATATATGATAAAAGTAGCATTTTTGCATGACACATAGATCCACCCAGCACTCTACATATATAAACTCTACACTAATAATTGTATCAAAGAATCGTCAGCACCGACGTGTATCGCATGGAGTCTACTTTGTAGAAAATTTTCGAAGTGAAGGACGAAAAACGCCACCATTTTTTGGGGTCTTCTTCTAAAATCTACTTTCATGTAATTTAATAAGGAAGTCTCTATGGACTGGCAAATCCCATGAATGACTTCTAGTTGATTCCATTGAAACTGGATAACTACCTGAGAAATTTTGTAGCCACAGAAGAAATTTTATTTGAAAGTCTTGATTGCGAAAGGCTTCATTATTTGAAAGTCTTTACGCATCATACTACAGGCTGATGCGTATAAATATGGAAGCAACTGTTCCTGTTCCCCATAGGCTCCAAGTGCAGCTCGAAGCTAAAAATGGAGAAGTTTCCCACCCCAATATTATTTTACAGTTTCCTTATTGCCTTGGTATTGCTGAATTCTCGCCATGCAACATCTGAAGAAGTTGGTATAAATTATTTGTAATATCTTTATTATATATGCTCAATATTTCCACTATTAGAATCGAAGTAGAGACTATTGTTCTCTTAAAGAGTTTCGTTAAACTTTCTTTAATTTGGGTAGTTAATTGCATTTTCTAAATTAAAATAGGATATTGCTTTCAGCCATTTTTAAACAGTTTTTCTAGTTATATATATATGAAACATGCATATTAAATATACATGGTTAAGAATGACAACGGCTCCAATTGAATTTTTGATTTCCTTGTAAATTTTCTGTTTAAGGTAGTCCATGTTCATCAATGTTACGCACTCTTATCCTTATTAAATAATGTCATATGGCCCCTCCTACAATTTTTTATGGGATTTTGTAAATTACTTCTCATTTTTGTTAATATTCTTGATGATGCAGAAGATCAGAGGGAGTTTAACTATGAGGAAGACAGTGAGAAGGGACCGGTTCGATGGGGAGAGATACGCCAAGACTGGAGCATGTGCAGCAAGGGATCGATGCAGTCTCCGATTGATCTGTTAGATGACAGAGTCGAACTAGTGTCACATTTGGGGATACTTAAGAGTAACTACAGGCCTTGCAATGCCACTCTTAAGAATAGGGGGCATGATATGATGGTAAGATAAAAACTGGAGATCAAATTTGAAAAATTCTCCTAACACAATTAGTATTACCTTACACTTCAAAATACCAAGAAAGGTGCACGTAAAGTTGCGGTTGTTGAGGTTTAATTTTCCATTAAGTCTATGAGGAAAAAGTATTCTTACGAATATTAATCGCTTGTTCGATGATTTGTTAATGCAGTTGAAATGGGAAGCTGATCCAGGATTTATACTATTAAACGGAACTTTATATAAACTGAAACAATGCCACTGGCACGCGTCTTCAGAACACACCATCAATGGCAAGAGGTTTGATTTAGAGGTGCATTTGGTTCATGAGAGCGCAACTGGAAATATTGCTGTGACTGGAATTCTTTATAGGATTGGAGCTCCTGATCCATTTTTGTCATCGGTAAAATATTTAAAACCCTCACTTGGAGTGACCCTACTTTATACTGACTACATTTCCAACACCATCGCTCGCATAAATATAACTCAAATATTGCATGATTAGGGTCCCACATGGATCCTCCTATGTGAGAGATATGGTCGGTAAATGTGGTCAAAATTATATACTTTCATTCTTCTCTCTTATGCTTGCTGTACTTATTATTCCTTTTTGTGTTTAGATCATGGATTATTTAGCAGACGTCTCTGATACCACTGAAGACGAAGAAGTCGTTGGTATGGTTGATCCAAGGCAAATGAAAACAAGCAGCACAAAGTATTACAGATATATTGGCTCACTCACAACTCCTCCATGCACACAAAATGTTATCTGGACCATTGCTCGAGAGGTTCTTTTCTCTTATTTTATAAACCCTTAAATTTGATAATATGTTCTGGTGTCTACAAAGTTTCTGTTCGTTCTAAATCTCACTTAAGTTTTAACTCATCAGGTGAGCACTGTCTCAGAAGAACAAGTGAAAGCACTCCGAGTAGCTGTTCATGATGTAAGTTCAATCATGAAACTATTTCAAAATTTCATGTAAAAAAAAATAAAAAAATTATGCATAAACATTGAAAATTCGATGTTATTTTGATTACATGTACTTGTGTTGAAAATCTTGCAGGACTCAGACACTAATGCAAGACCAGTACAACCCAGAAACAGGCGGATAGTGCAACTTTATAGACAAACAGTAGAGGAAAAGAATTGAATCTAGCTAGAATTATATAGCTTTAAAGTATCACCACCTTTCACTTACGGCAGGTCTTGAAACCTGGAGGAGGAGGAGGAGGAGGAGGAGATATGCAGGGTCTAGTCTAAATAAAGGAGTTGTAATCACTAGGATTACTCTGTATGTATGTTTATATATTGTACACCATTTTCCCATTTATTCTCTAAGTAAAGGGTTTTCCCTTTTTTTAGTTGGGGGCTTGGACCATGTTGTATTAATTTTTTTCATACATCTAGTATAATTATTTAAGGAGTAATTAGGTTTTCATCCTTATTTTTACTACTCTATTGATTAAAACCTTATTACTTTTCAATTTTTGATCAAGGTCCTTTGTATTAATAATATCATTAATTATTTCAATAATAAAATATTTTTTATTTCTAAATATATTCATTTAATATTAAAAATGTTACAATTAGTATATTTATATTTATGGCTAAATTTTTTATCATATATTTTTATTTTTAGTTTGTACCCATTTTTAATTTGCAATCTTTTTTAATTTGTACCAATTTTCCTTTCAGTTTTAATTTGTACCCATATATTAATTTCTTTTTGTGCCCATATTTTTTAAAGTTTTATTTGTATTGTACCCATATTTTTTTATTTATTTGTACCCATTTTTATTTTTGCTAAATGTACCCATTTTGAAGAATGTACCCATGTTTTGATACAATAATTTTTTGGTTATTTTTTATGAATGTACCCATGTTTACACACACACACAATAGTATATTTATATTTTAATATTTTTAATCCCACAAATTATGGTTTTTTATTTAAAATCTCATTACTATATAAACAACTATAAATTTTAATTTTTTAATTTAAAAAATATAGTAACGTACATAGAAATAAATTATCAATTAATTTCAGGGACTTGGATCAAAAATTGAAAACCAACAAGGTTTCAGTCAAAGACTATTCATAACTAGGGACCGCATCCAAAGTCTCCAATTATTTAATGTACGGTATTCAATTCGTTGAATAAAGGGCTTTACAGATTTATATTCAATATCAACATCTTTAATTTGCAACCAATCCTGCAATAGCCTTCATGAACTACTCCTCAACAACAAATTAGTCACACATGTCCGCACTTCAGTCCTAACACATGAACAACTCATATTGAGTAATGTGAAAACAAGTGTCAATTGGGTCGATCATGTGAATAACATGCTCTTCCAAAATCATATAGTCTTACATAAGACTTCACTTTGGTGGGATTCATATATTCTCGATATCAGAAAGAACATGGGAAGCTGGAAGACCTTCTAGTAGAACAGCTGGTCTAGGAAATATTTGGAATTTAGTATCAAACGCACGATAATGCATCGAAAATGTTTAAAATAAGTTTCTTCAGAGAATATGTAAATATGTGATGTGAGCAGTGACCTAATGGAATCTGACCATTCACATAAGCCAATTTTTTCCATGCTTAATTTCTATTAGGGATGTGTTATCTACACACCCTATTTTACTTCTCACACGCTCCTTGATGATTTATATCCGTTGATCTTCTTCAATTCATCCGATCCGACGGCCAAAAATTAAAAAGGTGTGTGAGAAGTAAAATAGGATACGTGGATATCACTCCCTTTTATTCCCACTTTAATCCTGCTTTCTATATATTTCATCATTTTCCATTCCATCGCTCCGTTTTTTTTTCCTTCTCCCGCTCTCCTTCCCTTGCTCTCCTCTGCGCGGCTCTGCGCAGTTACGGGTTCGATGCCGAAGTCCGGCGAGTTGTTTCCGGCCAAATGGCAACTAACCGACCTCGCCGTCACCACCTATCGTCTCACCTTCGTATCAGGAGCCAAAACTACTTGTTGCATGCCTTGGATTGGGACGACAGCAGCTTGCGGTTGCCGATGAGTGTTCTCCGTCGGGGGCAGAGGCTTGGATTGCTGATGTGATTTGGATTTTGATTCTCAACTATGTTTTGAATTTGAAATGGGTTTTGATTTCTGGAATTGGCTTTCGATTTGATATGCAATTGTGGAATTGTGAGTTGGTTTTTCATTTGATCTCTGCAAATCTGCAATGGTGGGGAATTGGCTTTCGAGAAAGAAAGAGATTTCTAGTGGAAAAAAAAAAACAGAACAAGAGAGAGTTGATGATAGAATTTTAATAGATATTGATGAAATAATATAATATTATAATTTGTTAATTATCTACTTCTTAGTCTGATATTGTACCAGACACTTATCTTTAACCGAAAGCTGACCAAATAACTCGTTTTAACCCTTTGGCCCTCCAAGAAATTAATATTTTAATGTAGAATGCATGACCATATTTCTTACCATCTCCAACTGAGGGTCAAAGAGTTATAGAGCTCATTTTAGCCCTATAGCAAAAAACAGTCTCTAACCGAGGGTCAAAGGTTATAGCCAAACATAATTTATTATTTAAATTTAAAAACTACAACAACTTAAATTTAAAAACTACAACTAAAATTTAAAAACTACAACAACTTAAATTTAAAACTACAACTTAAATTTAATATCTAAAATCATCATTATCTTAATCATCCGCCATTGTATGAGTATAGTCGGAGGTAAACAACTGTTGACACACCCCGATCCTAGAATCAAGGCGTGCTAGCCGTTACGTGAGCGTGACGTAACCAAAAGTGCGATGCGGAAGCAAAAGATAAGAGAAATACGAAGGAATAAAAACCAACTACTAGCAATAATATCCAACTAGCATGTTAGAGTAAGTTAAAGTGTGAAACACACATATTCAGAGTATAAGTACTAGGGGCAGTCAAGTAGGACCATAACTAAATTACAACACCCGAATGTGAGTCCTACATTTATGTAGTCTGTCAGTACGCCATGGGAATCCTCGTGGGCCACCAACGCTGCTAACTAGAACCTGGAGGGGCGCAAAACAAAATTGAGTAGGTCAGTAAAACAAAGCTTTTCGAAAACATTTCAATTTAGCAACATTTCTAACCCCTCACTGTAAAACCTGTATACTTTCCCAGAAAATAACATAATATGCATATAATTCTTCAAATATCTCAAATCACCAATCTTTATAAAAAACCAGAAAGTATGCCATGCTATAAACGTCAATAACAGAATAAGGATGCAACATTATAACAGGTGAAATAAGGAATCAACCGGAGACCCTGCAGTTGGTCCTGTACGGTTAATTCTATAGCTCAATATCCAATCCAACCGGAGTCACCAATGGTGACCTGTACGGCACTACTCTGCATAAATTGGAACTACCTGAAGTAGTCTGTATGACAAGAATGGTGTAACAATACGCTCTAGTGCTTCTCTCATCAACAACTGTATAATAATCTAAAGTCACCTACAAGTCGGAACCACCTCTCATGGTCTGTACGACATGTCGGAACCCTCTAATGGTCTGTACGACATGCACCTACTTAGATCTAAGGTGAGCGTGTGGTGCGGGGTGAATAATATAAGCACTAACACCAAGGGTGCAGGTTATGAGCTCTCAACGCAATTCACATCATCAATAAACCATATGAATAACATAAAACTCACCTGATACTCACCTGTGCGTCCACAGCACCATTTCACATATATGCATCAAATACTAATTCACATATTTCATATAATATGCATGCATGGCATTTTAAAACATACTTTTATTTAAATTCGATTTCTGGGAAAAAAAATCAATAGTATATAGGTAAATACAGAAAAATACTGCCCACTCACTGGTAAGTCGAAGGGTCGTAACCCCCGTGACGTCCTTGAATACGCTTGTCCTCGGGATAGGTATCACCTATATGCGAAACAACTATAAAAACATTATTTTAAAGCACATAACCAACAATACGTAATAACTTCTCATACGATGCTCAATTTGGGTATATGAATATACCATAGTGACCTACTCAACGTCACAGACGTCGAGGTATTTTTAGAATAATTTTTGGACTTGCCACGCGCCCCCACGTGTTGGGATAGGCACGGGTCTACGCGTCCCCACGCGCGTCATCTCCTTCCTCCAGACGCCGGAAAAACTCGCTGGCGCCGGAAACTGGGCAGACCTATAATCGTCATTTTCTCGCTCGATTCTCAACCATTTTCCATGAAATTTTCACCAAAACTTCACAAATTACGAGAGGAAGAAGGCTATACCTTTAAAAACTTCCAAATCATTCGAAATCACGTCGGGAAATTTCACCAAAACCGGCCACCTTCGAACCTTGTGATCCCGATGTCCAAAACCTTCAAACGAACGTCCCTGAGCTTCGTGAGAACCTCCTAAAGCTCACTGTGAGCTTGGATTGTCCTAAAAACCAACCATTACAAAGTTCGTGAACAATACTCAAATCGGACCTCGAGATTTCAACGTGAAAACGAAAGATTTCTTACCTGAAATGGGTATGGGTGAGTTCGTAGGGTCCTCACGAGCACAATGGTGCCTTCAAAACCTTCGATCCATGCTTGGAGGCTCGATGGTGAGTGTGTCCGTACGAAATGGAAGAAGAGAAAGAGAATGAAAGTCCAATAGAGAAAGAGAGTGAGACACGGGAGAAAGAAGAGAATGTTTGTGTGGTCCAATTGAAACCAATCAATCTCAACCCATAATTTTCTAACTTCCAATTGGGTCCAAACTTTAGGAAAAAAAAAACATAATTGGATCCACAACCTTGTTTCGATTTGAAATGCTCAGCCAAAACTCAAGGGCAATTTCTTCAGTTCACATCCACGATACTAAATTTTCGGGACGGGCTGTGACAATTGTCGCCGGATCATAATTTTTTTTCCCTATCAAAATAGGTCTTACTCATTGGAGTGTAATTCGAAGTGTTCCTTTCCATATTCATATCATCCATCTCTTCTTGTATTTGTTTGGCCCGTTTTTTATGCCTACGGTTCATTTCTTCCGCGGCAAAGGCATTTGCTCCTCCATTAATTGCAATGAGGCTGCCATTTCCTATTGAGCGGCGTAATCACCCATTGCCTTGCCCTTTTCCTTCAACCTTTGGGCCTTGTTTCGTCCCATAGCCCTAGGTATGTAACCTTAACCCGAAGACGAATTTTCTACCCTTATTTGTTGAATGGTAGGAGATCCATATCTACAACTGAGGATGTAGTTCCGAACACCGGCGTAGGACCTAGTCTATGTTGAGATGGATCTTCAAATAATACCCACCATTTACAAATTTCCCAACAACCGTGAAACTGAAAGGGTTTTGAGCTACCCTCCATATACAATTCCTTCGCTTGGCGTACCTAAAAAATATAATTACAAAAATTAAAGGAAATTAACTTATGAAATTAAATGTAATATAATTAAATATAATTACAAAAAATCAAAGGAAATTAATTTATGAAATTAAATGTAATATAATTAAATATTTAAAATAAATTATGAAAACACCTACTTCATCGCAGTAATTAGTGCCGTTTTCATGTCTACTTGCGGTTGCTAATAGTGCTTGATGCCATTTGTTCAAACTTGGCTGAAGATATTTCTTCCATCTTGAAGAACAACTCTCATGGTTTTAGGTATTTGGTGGAGTGGTGCCTTCGTAGAACTTTAAGTATTTTTTGGACACACGAGACCAAATACCTTCACTTGTTTGAGAACTCCCCCTCACACTATCTTTCGACACCCATCTATAAGCCCTACAAAGAGCTTCATCTTCTTTTCGGGTCCAAGCCCTACCTTTCATTACAGATGAGGTCATTTGAAAATTATTGCAAAAATTGAAAGAAATATTATTGGAAGAGGTAAGAAAATAGGAGAATTGAAATGATGTAGGAATGGTGAAAAATTTGTGATGAATGGTGTAGGAATGACTTAGGTATTTATAGGAAAAAATGAGAATTTAAAAAAAAAAATTTGGCCCAAAAAAAAGAAAAAAAAATTCAAAAATTAACGGTGATTTACGTTAGCTAGTTATTGCTAGCTGGCGTCATACTAACGTCAACTAACCGTTGGGGTTTGAATGGGAGCTCGGTTGGCTGGCTGCTTTAGGCCGGCCGGTTGGCCTTTTAGCCTTTTTTTGTCCAGTGGGACCCACGAGCCCTTTGGCCTGGCTCTCGATTGGAGACGATTTTCGAACTATTTTTTGGCCCTCTAGACCCTTCGATTAGAGATAGCCTAAGTCAGTCCAATTAGAATTAGTTCGATGCAACGCACCCTAATGGTTTAACCCTACCACTAGAGGGAGGTCATTGAATTTCTTTACCCTTAAGGGACATTTAATTTTGCATAATTTGCTCCGCAAAACGTGTAATCAATTGCATGTTTAAGATTCATCTTGGTAATAGTTATTTGAGGTTGTACAAATTGGAATTGTTGTGAGTAGGCTCGAATTTAGCCAAAATTGGGTAATAACCGTGATCTCTAACACTATGTTTGGATGAAGGAAATAAACTTGAAATTTTGGTAAAAGTCAGAATTTATAAATTGACATACATAAATTCTCTTGTTTGGATTCATAAACATAGAAATTTAGAATTTCCGCGTGGAAAAAAAAACTTGGAATTTGGGACCTCCAATTCCCAAATTCAAATTTGATGTAAATAGGTGTCATTTCCTAATTTTTATGATTGAGAATTAAAAAATAACAAATTCCGTATTCAATTCCATTGTTCTTTTAGGTTAACCAAACAAGAAAATTTACAAATTCTAGAAAATAAAATCTTGTCATTTCAATTTCCGTCATTTTGAAATTCCTTGGTAATCTTAAATTTCTTCATCCAAACATAGTGTAAGCTTCTTCCTCTTTTCAATTTCTATTAATTTAGCTCCCAATTGAGCATTTTCTGTGTTTTGTTTGGTTGCTGAGAAAATGTGAAGCGAAGGAAAGTCTTGAATCATTTTCTGTAATTTTGGTTTTCTGTGTTTTCTTTTTTTGCTGTTTTGGGTTGTACTGCTGAGTTCCATGTATTTATAGAGGACGTGATTGCTTCGTTTACGCTAAACATTATGAGATTTAGTGTTTAACGTTTTGCACAATTGGGTATACTTTCTCTGAAATTAAATGGAGATTTGTCCTTGGAAATGTTTACAAAACTACACTTATGTGCAAAACCAAATCCAATCTGAAGGATGTAAGTTTATAACGTAACGTAACCAAGAATTTTTTTTCTGGGTTTTTCTAACCAAACCTTCTCCCACGTTGTGATTATATAGCAAGGTATATTCTCAGCTTTTTGTAATGAACGACCATTTGCATTACAGATTTCTGACATTGTTTTCGAAAAAAGAAACTTTAAATGGAAGATTGTTATCATATTATACCTTGAATCTGTTGTACAATATGAAATTACTATTGTAACCTTGCACTAAACATTTGTGGTGAATGAGTTTAGTGCGTACAAGAAATGAAATCTCAAGGTATAACTGATGATCGGCGGGCAACTTGGAAATATAGCCATTTTAGAGATCACCTGTTGGAATATAGCCTACATTTTTCATTTATTATAAAACTAACCAAAATTGAAGTTAAAAAGTCTTATTGCCCTCAGTTTAAAACCTTCCCTGCTTCTAGAATCGTGGTGTTTCTTTTCTAAATCTTCGTCCCCGTTGTTTTTTTTTTCTTAAACAAAATTTCCTCCACAAAACGCTCCAAACTAGTGTTGAATAAAATATAAACAGTCCAAACACGGCAAATATAGAAAAAGTCAAAAAATGTAATCTCATCACTTGTCTGCCTTAGAGACGTTTGCAGCAACTTGTCCTCTGAGACCACCAGTCCACCTAGCAACAATGAAACCAACCTTCTTCCCAGGAGAAGCGTTACGCCATACTATTGTAGCTAATCCAATATGTGGTGATTACCTCCTCCGTGAAGATGCTCGACTGGGTTCATAGCCACACCACGAATAAGTTTTCAAAAAACTCTTGTTAGTTTTGACTATTTCTTCATCTAGTATTGCAGTTACTGCTTGGCGGGATCACTTGGTTCAATCACCTTTGGGTAAAGAGAAGTTTGGTGGTGGTGTTTCAATGGAGATGAGGAGTGTAAAGACAGCACAGGAGTGTTAAGAGAAGGTTAAGGGTAATTATGTCTTTTTAATTGTAATTTTGGTTAGTTTTATAATTTTAGAAAATGTAGGTTATATTTCAATAAGTGATTTCAAAAATAGCTATATTTCCAAATATCCCATGATCGGCTAGAACTTCTGAACGGTGTTAAAGTTCCAAATAATTTGTAAACAGAACTTTCTACAAATTATTTATTTCTCATGTTTTGTAAAAATAAAAATAAAAATAGTTTAATATAATGTAATTAATTTGTTCAATATGCTAATGAATGTAACCTTTTGAATTTTATAAATCTAACTTCTACAACCTCTGTTTTTTAATGGTATACATTTTCAAAATATTTTAAATACCTGCAACATCTTGCAGACACTTTTACGAATTATAAACTAAAACATGAACAAAAAATTAATGATGCAGAAAAGTAACTTCCATAAACTAAAACATATGATCAATGTAGAAAACCTATTCAACGAGTATGTATGTATGTATGTATGTATGTATGTATGTATGTATGTATAGGTGAGTTTAATTAGAAGCACGAGAAAGCATATATCAAGCTAGTTAATTACATATTTTAGACCATTACATTACTTGATGAACAATTTTTATACCCTGATCGGTAACGAACGTGGTTCTTCATTATTGATCAAGTTCTCGATCATACCATTCTTGCGAGCACTTTCATGATGTCATCGATGGATGGCCGATGGAGAGGATCGTCCTCCACACAGGCCTTCGCTAAAACAGCTAAGCATAAGGCCTCTGCAAGAGGATAATCCTCCAACTGTGGATCCATGAAGCTCCTAAGTTGTTCGAGGAAACCGCCTTCGCTAGCACCCCCTCCCAAAAATTTGATGGACTCTTTAAACGACTTCCCATCAATGTCCTCTCTTGCTGAGATGAGCTCAAGCAAAACAACTCCAAATGCAAAAATATCCACCTTCTCAGAAGCTGATCGGTGTAGAAGGTACTCTGGTGCAACCCATCCTTTGTCATTTCCTTCCGAAAATCCCTCAGCCGATATGGTTCCAATGTTCGAAAGCTTTGCCCTCCAATTTGCTGTCACAAAAATGTTTCTAGTGTTTATGCCTAGGTGAGCACAAGAAGGGAAAGTACAACAGTGTAAGTAGTGTAGTCCAGTTGCAATATCGAAAGCTATTTGTGTTCGCCAATGCCACTTGATAGGACTAGATGGACTAGACAAGCAGCCCCTCAAGCAGCCATTGCTCGGAAACTCGAAAACTAGATAAGACCATGACATGTGATTTTCGCCGTAAGAAACCGCCTCTAAGTTCAAGATGTTGATGTGGTTGATCTTCGAATGCACGTCAATAACATGGCTCGTGTCCTCAAATCTCATCTGCTTGATCATCACTTCAACATTATTTATTATTCCCCTGTACGCTTGAGAACCAATCTTGTTTTCTTCATTGAAATCCCTTGTTGCTCTCCTCAGCTCTTCTATGCTATAATTGAACAACGAGTACTTC